TTTTTTTTTTTACCTGGAGGATTACACAGGTTTTGGTTTAGTTCTTAACACAAGATGTAAATATTATTTATACATGGTTTTAAGGTTTAAATCCCTTAGAACAAGAGAAGTAAAATAAGAATGCAGCTTCTCCATCTGCACTTCTTAACACAGACACTGGCTCAAGCTTTAGCACTTTAAGAGGCAGACTGTTCACACAACCAGAGCTAGGTAACATCTTGTGGAGAGTAAGTCAGACTTGACCTACTGTTTGGACAAACCCATGTAAATTAAACTCAATGAAATTATTTTAAAAAACATAAATGTCCTAAAAATTAGTTAACTTTTTTTCATTTTGGATGGTTCTATGTCTGAACATTGGACTTCTAGTCCAAAAAGACCATCTTGCTGAATTTGGCTAGATTTTGTCAAAGAAAGGATAAAATTGCATAGACTTGCGTATTTTGCTACGCAGCTTCTAAAACTTACAATTATGGCCACTAAAATCATATACTCTGTTAAAAAAAAAAAAAGAGTACAAAAAAAAGAAAATTCATACAAAATCAAGTAATTATCTTAAGACTTGCTCAAGGATGCTGTTGGTCTGACCTTGCAAAATACTTAGGCAGGTGCTTAATTTTAAGCATGTGAGTCATTGTGCCAAGAGAGGTTTTATGGTGAACACTAATGCACAAATATTAGACTGGCTCTTCCACTTCAAGATAAGCATGGATGTAAGTGCTTTGCTGGATATGGATCAGGATGCTCAGCACCTAACAGGACTTTAGGCCCTGATCCAGCAAAGCACTTATCCACATGAACAACACTGCTGACTTTAAGATCACTGCTCATGTGCTTAACATTAGGCATGCTCGTAAGTGCTTTCCTGGAAGGGCCCGATAGACCAATAGTGTATAAGCCATAAAATTTGAAGCAGTGTATGTTTAACACACCGCATATTTAACAATGTTAATCTGCTGAGATTTGCTTTTTCTTGGAACAGGGCATGTCTAACTTCAAGCATTTATTCTCAGAAAGTGCATAAAAAATGCCTTTAAAAGCTGCTTTGAGATTATGGCAAGTTAAAATAATATTAGCAAGTCTCCTTATGCTCCTTTCATTTCTTCTTCACATGTCTTCGCCCAGGCATCTAAAAAGGAAAGAGAAAACCCTAGTTATAAACATTAATCTATTCAAATAAGCATCTAGGCATTTAGTTTCCTTCTAAAAAACGTAAGGTCAGATGCAACTGAACACCTGAAAACAAGCAACTCTTCCAGGTTTCAGATCTGAATACAAATTTTGCCAAGTGTGTCACCTTTTCCACTGAAAATATTAAAATCACCAGTTGTCACTCCTACAAATAGAACTAAGTTTATTACTTAAGAGTGAAAATGATGTGCAATTTCAACCCTTACATATCCCAAAGTTGGTGCTAGTATTTCCATATGAAGTTTTCCATGCCCACTGGTGTCAATCCATTTGCAATGTATATTCTAAAAAGTGGAAATGTAAGAGCTGCTTAATCCCAAACCAACAACTATAAAAGCATCACAACTCATTAGATATTTACATGAACATGGAGAGATGTCATGTTAATCCAGAAAAAGAAATAAAGTAAGACCACATTTCTGTAATGGTGCTGGCATATTGTTTCATACTAAGCTAACCAAGGAAGAAATAGCAAAGCAGCACTTCTTAATGACCTACTGCTACTGCTGGCCAGGCAGAGTAACTATATTTAAATCCTCATTGTGGTAGGAAATATTGTTTTATGTATTTGGCACTGTATGCTCTTCATAACTTCTTACAGCTACATGTTGAGGAAGTTTCGAAGTTACTAAATGTATTTCATTCTTTCCTAAAGGGAAAAGAGTTTTTGTTTTCACATGAAAGCTCTAATAGCTTTTGGAAATGGCTTATTTTTTTTGTCATGCACAAATTCCTGCTCAACCAAAAGCACAGTCACTAATAAAATTACAGTTGTTGTAAGTTACAGCGTAGCTGACAGCTGAAGTCGAGATGTGACACACTAAAGCATAATGCACCTATGCACAGAGGAAGAACTCTAGACTTAGTCCCCAAGTGCAGTGGCAGATGTTGAAGTCATGTACAGAGAAAGAAAAAACAAAGTCGGTACCCCAGATAGAAGTCAGCATGAAGGCCTCCCATCTCTATCAGAACTGTTTTCCTCCTGTCCTACATTCTGACCAGAGAAAGGGGGACTGTTTCTTAGAAAAAAGGTTCTCAAACTGTTCAGTCAATGAGAAGATGCATTTCCAAAATGTGTTTCACAAGGCTTTTGAACTGTTCAAAACTAAACCCCTAAAACTATCAGATTTAATCATCCAGAAGAAGAGTCTACCATATATCTGTCCCACGCACAGTTCCTGTTTCTAATGTAATTCTCTCCCATTCTTGGTTTTCCACGCAAACATCCATTCCATGCTTGTCTGATTTCTCAATGTCTTCTAGTGCCTACAATTGGCTCGCCATTAATAGATACATAATTCCTTTCCTCTCATTTACCAAAACGCTCCCTAGGATGCTGCTTACTACAAAAACCTTCACACAGTATGTGCCTGGTTATTTTCTTTTTCCCCCTCCTTAACATTATGCTGCACTTTCGAGTGGTGGTTTTCAAAAGCTGTCATCATTGGTGCATCCCTTCTCCTACTGATATGAAGTTGGGTGGTTTTCTTTGACTGTCAAATAAACTGCTGGGCTAGGCTGAGTGTTTTTCAAAATCTAACCCTTCCAGTTCATGACCGCAATTGCTCATTCTGGGCTCACCAAACGCTAGTTCTTTCCAATCACAGCAAAGGACCATCAGATAAACCAATATGTGCTGCTACAGGGTGGGTCTTTACTTACAGCCTAGACCAATTCTAAAGGTGATACACATAGAAACTGTCAACTGCAGTGACACCTACTATTAACTTTTAAACTTGTTTGACAGTTAAAGGAGAGAAAAAAGAAAAAGAAACTTTACTGATAGGGCTGGTGAAATTCTGCTGGAGACAGCTGAACAAGGCAGCGTAGTGTAGCAGGAATTTCTCTATGGCTCCACATAGCAGTTCTGGGGCGGGGTGTTTGTATCCCCTGCTGCTTCCCACACCCTTACATGGTTTCAGAAAGTTGACATTCATGACTGGAATTTTATTAAAGCACCAAATGACTTGGGAGAATGATTCTAACTGAGAAATCTCTGCATCTGAATCACACACTTCTCAACCTACATTCAAACACTAATGCGACAGGCTGATTTCCACAGATAAGGAAGACTTACAATACTGATTCCTCAAAATGCCTGAAAAGCTTTTTTTATTTTTTTCTAAATAACTTATATTTTGGGTCTAGATAATCCACTTCAAATACTTTTAAAACTAGGAACATTAACTATATGCTTTTGGGAGGCCATCCACATGGGTTAGATAAATCTCTGTAATTGGAGATAATAATTCCTTAAACTTCCAAATATTATCTGGAATTCCAACCTTACAGACTTCCCCATTTACAAACTATGTCCACTACTGAAATAGCCACTGGTCTGAAAGGCATACAAACTCCAACAATGGCAAAACTGCACAGAACACCCAGCAAGGCTTCTCATTCTTTTCTGTTTGAGAGAAAATGCCACAGTGCTCTTTAAACTGACAACACTGTAAACCAATAGTTGTGAATGGCAGCAAGTAATCTGAAGCAGAAAAACAGTGCAGTTACTAAAGAACTAAAGAAACTCCTAGCTTCTCTGAAATTCCCCATAACCAAGGGACATAGGCAGATTCTCTACTGAGCCGATGTAGCAAAGAATGAAATAGTTTGAGTGTCTTTTTAAAACACATGCTGTAGCTGATCCACAGTAATGACTCAGTGCATCAACTGGTGGATGAAATGAGTTTTCTGCAGAACTGGCTAGACCTATACTAACAATCCCAGTGATTTCATTCTCTTTGACTCTGTGAATCAGAGAACTTGCAACTTAGCAGACAGCTATCCTTCTGAATATATAGGAATACTCTGTAATGTGGAAAGCATACACTCAAAAGTGAGTAGTGTGTTTTAAGTAACAGCCCTACCTTGTTCAAAACTTTATAAAATTAAACCTTATCTAAGACACTCATGCTTAAGCCTTAGAATCCATGCCCAAATAAGCTTGTTTAAAAAACCAAGTTTTGCCTTTAAACTCCTTAATTATTTTTGTAAGAACCTACTGACCTTGGAAATGAACATAAAAATACCCCTACATAGGGTTAAGAAATTTATCATGTAAGCCCAAAGTGATGCTGTAATTCTTTAAGGATTAAAAGTTATACACAGGAAAATACAAAAACCCCTTAAGAAATGTCCTGAAGCCCAATCTAACTCTTGAAATGTACAGCAAATACAACAAACACAAATTTGTTACACAAAGCACTTTATTGCATTACATGTCCATTGACATTTATTGCAATTTGTTTCTAGCATATTCAAACCAACCCAAATCCCAATACAGACACTGTCTTTGCCTCGATAAATTGCCACCAATGACAATGCTTACATCACCACTTAGATTTGGGTCAACATAAAAACCTAATGATGACATCCTACTCTGGTGTTATACTGGGTAAAAATCTCCATAAGGTCTCAAAAAATAATGCTCCTTATGAATGAAAAAAAATCCTTAAAAACTCAAAGGAGGGCATGTTTCCAGCCTAGAATGGAGTGCAATGGAGAAAACTCTGTGGTAGCCTTGACTGAGCTTGCTCTAGAACAAGCAGCAGTACAGGATGCTTAAACCTTGCTTCTTGGTTCATAGGACCATGCTCCTAATATAGCTTGTCTTCCTAACCCAGGCTGGAATATCTGCATGGTACTGCCTTGCCCAGCTGAGGCCTAACAGCTCTGTCCTGTGCTCACTCAACAAACTCCACCATGTACACAGACATGCCCTGCACATACTATACTAACAAAAACCCCCTGGAGACATCTTTAGCTTAACATAAAAATAACCACTGTATAAAGCTTTCAAGAACAAGCCTTTATTTTGATGCTTTAGGTTTGGAGCTGAAGAAAGCAGAAATTGATTTCATTCCAGTTTTATCAACTTTGGCCAAAGCCTTCTGCGCTGCAGACATCTTGCTGTTTGCCTGTTAGTGAAAAGATAAACAGAAAAAGTTAAGCTGCATCTCCATAGGAGAGCTACAAACTCCTAAATACAGAAGTCAAACAAGAAGTTAGACTGCTTTTTTAGTATACAGCAGTAAATATAATGTTGTGCAGGCTTTAAATTGTAAGAAAAAACCCTTAAGAACAAATTTGAGATTATTCAAACAGAAAAATACTTGTCACGAATTACTTAACCTCAGACAAAGACAGAGAATCAACTACAAGGACAAGGAGGTGAAACACCTTTTCTTTCTGCAGAATGAGGTATCCCAACTCAAACGTTTACTTTGGGATAATCCCTGAGTGTACATTAAGAGGAATAATGCATGCAATATAACAGATGCATACTGTACCCTCCGACTCAATCTCATGATTATGCTGTCAGCAGGCTGAATTACAGCCTTGCATTACAAATGATGAATAATTCACACTGATTTATTATCAAAGACTCTAAGCACAGTGAAATAAAGGGAAAAGAGACGGAAGAAGTAAGAATGAAGAAGGTAACTAACATTTGCAAAGCACTTTGAGGCCACTGGGACAACTTCCCAGACTTTTACACCTAAAACACATTTTATGAGCCACATTTTACAGAGCTGACCTCTTTTCATTCTTGCTTTTTAAAATGTGATGGTTTAAATCTCTAGCTGTTTTCCCTATTAAGAAAACTTTGCATTGACCTTTCTTTATAATACTCAGTCTGCAGGACTTCACAATTACAATACTTGGGATCAGCTAGAAGGTTATGGATAAGATGGAGATAAGCAACAACAGTATGATCGTCTGTGTTACTATACAAACAAAACCACTGCCAAAGTATTAAAAAAAAAAGTTGTACACTGTACAGAGTCCAAGAGCTATCTTTTCTTTCCCAGATTCTCTCATCAATGCACTTCATTATTTCAGAAATAAATCATATTTAATGTTAAAATGAATTATCTCTCCTCAGCTTACTTCTATCTTTATGCTCAGTTCAAAAGCTGTAGGTGCATAATGGGGGAAGAGGGGAAACATGCATATTTTAGACTGTTTTATCTTCACTTATGGGGCAATCCTCCTCTTACCTCAAAACTAGATTGTGCCCTGAGTACAAAAAATTCTGGGATTGTTGGGGGGAAGAAAGGAATGTATCTGTCACGAGCTGCTCCTCTTTGCAGAGGGATAAAGAGTAGTCAGCATTAGTCTGAAGGTAGCAAGACCAGCACAGAGGGCCTTTTTGGTTCCCAATGGATTGGAGAAGGATTCATTTTCTTTCAATGTTCAGAGAAATAAGCCAGTGCAAGCCTCACAACCTTGGCACACACAGAGAGAATCTTTCTTTTCACATCTCTTTTGCTCTCCTAGGAATAATACAGTGGCAGGCATCACTGGACTCAGATTTGAATTGGCCTCCAAACTTGTGCTGGAGCTGGCAATCAGCAAGCTCTGTGTTGATTTAACTTCATTAAGTTGACATAAGTAAGTGCATAAGCAGTGTTTCTAGGTAAAAATAAAGCCTGTCTTAGCATCCCTTGGAATTTAAGTGAATGCTGCCATCTTTGTTTCTTTTTCAAATTACTGAAACTTATGAGTTGCTATCACTAAGTCACAGGATTTCTCATCTCAAGTTCTCAAAGAGCTTTGCAAACATTAGCTGAGCACCTTAACACATGTCCAAGTCTGTGAGATTCACTGGAATATTCACTGATATAGTACAGTCAAACAGTAACAGCATAGAAGAGTTCAGAAAGGGACATGAAGACTACCAAAGTAAAATTCAACCTGAATGAAAAGTTCCAAGGAGTTATAATTACAAACATCTGTGCTTTGTATTTGTTTTTCTGACGTGTTTTGGAGGAGAAAAATAGGCATTCTGTGCCAATGCTGGATGTTAATCTATGCTTTAGCAAAACATGCATGAATGCAAGGCTTGCTTACCTTTTTGGTTTTCAGATTGCTGCTGTTAAACTTAGTATAGTCTTCTTCTGCTTCCACAGGGGCATCTGATAATTTCCTTTTCTGAAATGTCAGAGTGAGGAAGTTGCTGTGTCAACCACTTTTATGATGTGTGTACATGGAAGTTTAAATTTTTTGGCTTTATAATGTAATCATAGCACCAAAATAGGATTGGCAATGAAATGAAGTATCTTCAGTAACAGTGGAAGATTTCTCTTTGCAATTGTCTTCTTTACATGTGAATATATACCATCTCTACAGTATTCGAAATAGATCATTCAATGTAGAGATCATCCAATGTGATGGGAAGCATTTTCTTCTTCCTAGCCTTCTGAAGAAAGACTTCTAGAAATCACCTGAATCCCATTTTTAACTTCCATGATTGTGATTTTGGTGTCAGATTCTATTTAGACAACCTTTAGGAAGCAGCTGTTGGAAGTTCGTGCCTAACAGCCAGGGAACCTAGACTCTGGTCCCCATGGTCTGATGGAACTGTGTAGCAGCTCCAGTGTTACTGCTATCTGCCAGCACAAGTGGATCATTATCTAGTCTACTATCTGTTTGTGCACAACCTTTAGAAGTAATTAGTTTCTGCAGTTTGGCAACAGTGAAACACTGACATAGTTCTGCTGACTGCTTCATCACTTGACTCCAACAGTATATTAAGAAGCTTGACTGCACGTGCTGTGTGCCTTCTAACTTCAAAAATAATGGAAGTGAACGGTTCTCAGCACTTCACATAATCAGGCCGTAAGAATGAGTATTTCTTTCCATAAACTGTGAGCATGTGTTTAGTTTAAAGGTGAAAACTTCCTGGTATGTTTCCAAAAGGGAAAAAACGTATACAGTATTTTACAACACTATTTTTATTATTATTATATATCTGATATTACTACCATGTCCTTAATATCCTGTGAAATCTAAACTGTGGCCTTCCTCATTTTTGTGCCAAAAAGAGTGATTTTGCAAGCAACTTGGATGGTACCTTACATTTTAAGATCCTGTTTTATTCATTTTGTTTATGGTGCTTGTGATCTCTCTCTCTCTCT